CAATATAAAAGCAATGAAAAATGTTAATTTGAAGGTATCTTACTAGGAGAAATAATTTCAGGTTCATCTGCTCAGTGGTTGATGATGCAACACAAATTCAAGAACCAACATTTCTTACTGTACAAAATTCAGAAATAACTAAAGGGCTTTTTTAAATCATAAATTTTCTTTGTTGAAGATTTGTATTGTTCACTTTAATTATAATTGCATTTTAATCATGACATGCTATTTTTGCAGACATTGCATGAGAACTGACCAACTATTCTGCTGAACATGGAAAAAGACAAAGTACAACATTGAAACATATCACTTTTTAGCTTGGAAAAAAGTGAACAAAGTCATAGATGATGGAAGATTGCCATGTCCATTGAAAGCAAAGGGCCAGGGAAAGTGAAACAGACAATTGTTTCCCCCACCAATAATACCACAGTGTAATAATATGCCTGCTGTTCCTGGAATCATCAGGAATATCTGAGATAGAAAAAAAGTTTTCATAAAATGACTTCATGTACATTGGCTTCCTTTTAGGCCAGGACCCCAGCTCATCTGGAAGTCAGTGAAATTACCGGTAAATGACACAGACATCACTGGAGTGACTTTGGTGGGAAATGGGGTGGATGCTCAAATTGAGCTCAAATTCCATCATAGTTAAGATGGCTTAAATCTAAGGGTATTGGCATCACTCTTTTATACAAAAGTCAGATTATTATTATGTGTGATGCCCTTAGTGCCGCTTCTTAGGCCAGAGGCAATGAAGAAAGGAAGGAATGGTATCCAGCTGCCAATAGGGAGCAATCAGCATCCAGCACTTCTTCATCTTCCTTGTTTCCCTGCTTTTATAAAAAGAAAGAAACATGACTGTCTAGAGGAGTAACTCTGTCTATTTTATCATGCCTAGAGAATGGAGAAACGGTGGCAAAACAATAGGGCACCTTGGCTCCAGGAAGGTAAGAGAACATCCTAAAAGTGAAGATGAGACAAGACAGGTGTTACTGCCACCAGGAAACACTACCCTGCAACTCCATAGAAAACGCTGCAAGAATTGAGCTTCAGTGAATAGGCACAGCTTGCAAAGACTTCTAAAAGCTTCATAATGTAAGGCAGAATTATAGCCCATATATAAGTAAATATGAAAATATACTGCAGTGATTAAGTTTTACCATGTTAATTTAAAATAATTTCGCATTCATTCATCCAAATCATTTTATCTAAGTATTTACTATTTAAGCCAACACATTGCATAATATGCTTGCTCTCTCTCTCTCTCACACACACACACACACACACACTCAGAGAAAGAGAGAGAGAGAGAGAGAGAGAGAGAGAGAGAGAGAGAGAGAGAGGATTTAAAATAAAGTTTTCCCAATCTCAAGTAAGACTAGATTATGTTTAATCTTTAATGTTAATTAGAACATACTGGATGAGAAAGATTAGAGTGGTCTGAAAACATTTACTGTTTAATGAATTTATATGTATGTACGAACTTACATTTCTTTGGCTGATCTTTTTTGCTGTTGTCTGCAGAAGGATGTTCAAATATCAATGAAAACAAAGGCACAACATAAAATAGAGTGTATATTAGTACCCCAAGTATTTTATGCATTAAAAAGTCTTCAAAAATATTTTCCAGTATCATTATTTTAAACTCTTAATACCGTACTGTTGTACAGTACTGCTACACAGAAAGTCATTATTCTTAACAATTGTTTTCTTAATAGTTAAATATGTAACTAGGAAGTACTTTTCCTAACAACCTTCTTATAAACATACAACACAAGACAAAGAAAAATATTGCTAGGCAAGCAAATTTGGTTGCCAGCCAGTTTTTAAAAAAATAATCTACAAACCCAAGTTTAGGAAGAAAATAGCATAAGAACAGTCAAGAAATGCCTTGTAAGACTCATAGAATTTGGTGGTAGATAATCTGATTTAAACTGCATTTTGCTATGATCTCTGTATTTCTTGATATACATATATCAATTGTGTTTTACATTACACCAAGTCATATTTCTTTAGTCTGGGTTTAACATATAATATGAACCCTAGAGATCATGGCTCAATGGACTATATGAAAAATGGACACCTGGAGAAAGATAAGGTAAGAGTAGGCTAAGAAGAAGATCCCATCTTCACCTCATTTAAGTTCTCATTCCTTTTTTATCTAGTTTTTTTGTTAACTTGTAACATTTAATGTTTTTAATGTTCTAGTTGTTTAATATTGCTTTTTTTATGATATTATAAGCCACCCAGAGTCATTGTTCTACAATGAGATAGATGGCATATAAATTTAATAAATAAAATAATAAATTAATAAATAACCACATACCAATCAGGAGCAAATGAAGTAAAAATGCCTTCAAGCCAAGCCTGACTTCTGCTGACTGCATTGCTGGACGTTTTTTGACAGATGCTATTCTGTTCTTCCAGGATATTCTTCTACTTCTCCATCTAGCCCATGGCCCTGGAATTCCCAGGCAGTTCCCCGTTCAGGTACTAACAAGGACCAACACTGGAATCAGCTAAAGTCTGGACACTATCACTTGCTAAAGTAAATGAATGGGAGTGCAACTCTCAATTTTCAGGATATACAAAAATTGGTCACATACGTATGGACTATTCCTAATGGATTTCCACTTCTCGTAAAATGGGTAGAACTTGTTCAAGGGATTTAATGCAGGGATAGGTCTTATTTACACTGCAACTGTTGATAAACTCCCGGTAACTTCAACCAACATAGCCAAAAAATTTCTTTCAAAAGAGTGTGTCTTTTCATTTGGCAATGTAGGAAAGCCTTAAGTTTCTGCTTTTTAATTCTGACAGGATTTCCACTCCAATCTGTGAGTGATTGTATGGAAATTGCTACTGTAGCCCAGGGGGCCAAAATAAATTATAAAATGTACAAAGTCTATGGGAAGAAAAAGGAATGGTTTGAGGATCAGCAGGAAAAGCTACATAACTGCTGTTGCTGTGGATATGCCCCGCATGATGGTTCATTTATTCTGCCTAAAGTTAGATTTGGCACTTTTAATTTTTCTAAAAGATTTTACAGTGATGGTTGTTCCAGACAATAATCTTCTACTTCTGTCTTTAGATTATTACTGTCTGGAGCACTGTTTTACAGATAGGTCCATGCTCAGGCCACATAAGATGATTGATTAAGGTGAGCACAACCTTAGAAAGCTTTGGAATTCCACTCAAAACAGTTTTACATCCATCCCATGAAACTGCACTTCAGAAATACAAACTCTTGATCCACTTCTTGATCTAGTCTCAAGATTTGAGCTCAGCCTCAGTTGAAACACACACACACACACACACACACACACACGCACACACACATACGACAAAACCAGCATATGTCAAAGCACTGGTTTGATAAGTACTGCCAGAAAGTAAGCAAGCAAACAAAAAATAATAATAGGGACTATAAATAAGATTACTTACATACTCCCTATCTGAGGTTTCTCTTTCAACAGAAGCATTATTTGCTTCAGAAGTTTAGTTGTTACTAAAAAGAGAGAGGTGGCTACATCTGATAATGACAACATGCACCAAGACTCTGATAAATTTTAGAATTTAGTTTTAAGCTCACCCCTTATATCACAGCAATAATCTGGGAAACCCATTTTCAGCCTTTATATGGAGAGGACTATCTATAACAAGAGTGTCAAACTCGCAATGTCACATGACATGTTGCAATGTATCGTGACTTTTTTCCCATCGCCGGCAATGGGGTGGGCACAGTTTCGCCATAACGTATCCGGCCCGTGGGCCGGCAGTTTGACACCCCTGATCTATAAGGTGCTGACATTGATTTAAGGGAAGAGCTTCTGCTGGAATGTCCTTCAGTTTCAGCTGCTAGAATACATGAACTAATTAGGCAATTAAAACTAGAAAAGCCCCAGGCCTAGATTTAATTCCAGTTGAGTTGATACAAACCCACCCTGAAGAGTAGGCTTGTGTGTTGGCTTCACTTTCACTTATCACTATCATTGATAATTCAGCTGCCTTCCTTAGAGAGTGGGGCCCAGACATAATTATTTCCATCTGTAGGAAGTGAAAGAACGACAATTTAGCCAATTACTGCTTGATAAGTCTGCTTAGCAGAATTTTTTAAAAAAGCTATAATTTTGTATTTATTAAAAGCTCCATAGAACAGTGTTTTTCAAATCTGGCAACTTTTAGATGAACAGATGTGAACAGGATTGAACTGTGGAATCCTTGGCGCTCTCTGAGCATGCTTTTTTGCTTGCAGACTTTTCATTACCGAACTAGGTAACATCATCAGTGCTCGTAATGTTATCTAGTTGGGCAATGAAATGTCTGCAAGAAAACAACCAAGCTCAGAAAGGACCAAGGACTCCACAGTTTAAAATGTATGGACTTCAATTCCCAGTATTTTGGCTGGGGAATTCTGGGAGCTGAAGTCCACACATCTTAAAGTTGCCAAAATTGAAAGCACTGCCCTGGACTGACTGGGAGAAGCTCCTACTACAGAAGCAGACAGGGTTTGGGGCAGGCTGCGCTGTGTTATATAAAGGATTGATACTCCCCCCATTTGATTGAAAATATATGCTCACCCATTAAAGTCAGGCCCTTTTGCCTTGTTTGTAGATTTCAAGCAGATTTTTGTCTCCATCTCTAGAAAAGCTCTTTGGAAGTATCTTAGAGCATCTACAACTGACAGATGGTTACTCACATTATTTGCATTTTATAAGGCCTCTAGCGGTGACAAGATAGCAGTGTTCCAATATCTCAGGGATTTGCCACAAAGAAGAGGGGGTCAACCTACTTTTTTAAAGCACCTGAAGGCAGGACAAGAAGCAATGGACAAAAACTAATCAAGGAGAGAAGCAACCTAGAACTAAGGAGGAATTTCCTAACAGTTATTAGAACAATTAAACAGTGGAACAACCTGTCTCCAGAAGTTGTGGGAGCTCCAACATTGGAGGTTTTTAAGAAGAGATTGAACAACCATTTGTCTGAAATGGTATAGGGTCTCCTGCTTGAGCAGGGGGTTGAATTAGAAGACCTCCAATGTTCCTTCCAACTCTGTTATTCTGTTACTAGTTTGAGAGTGAGATGCCTTATAGCAATGTATATCTCATATATAATGCCAACTAGCAAAACAGCTGAACAAGGGTACCTTTTAGTCCTGTTACTTTTTGATAACTGGATCAATATAAATATCTTAAGCAAGGAAAAAACTCACTCCCAAAAACAATTTCATACTGTAAGGTTGCTTTGAATGCTCTGAGAAATTCAGAAGCATCAGTCTTCTCTTTTTCTCTAGGGGAGCCCAGTATATACCAGCTGCTTCAAAGGTTTTTGAAGCCAAGAAGCTGGCACATCTCCTCTATGGAGTGCAGTTAAATCCAGGTGTCAGGAGATACTGGAGAGAGTTCAAACTGGATTCCTGAAAAAAGATATTTCAAATAGCTAAATGTATGTCTGATGCTGGTCTACATTTGGAGGCAGGGTTTAAATCTCGCTCTCAGTCCCAAGATTTGTAAAATAATAATTCTTCTTCTTGGAAATGCCAAATAAATGACACATTATATAAATTGTTTTTTTTCCCCATTAGATGTTGATGCACAATGAGGCAATGGTAACTTTTAAACAAAGAATTCTGGACCCAGTATTGCCAACAGAAAATATCAAGAAACCACTCAATCAGGACACAGCAGATTTTATTTTAAGCTAGCATTATATCTGGCCCAAACAATAAATTCTTAAGGTCCTTTGTGCTATTGAAATTTAATAGCTTACTATCACTGATATTAGAGCAGTGGTCCCTAACCTTTTGGGCACCAGGGACCGGTTCCATGGAGAGAGGTTTTTCCGTAGACTGGAGGATGCGTGATTTCACATGCTGCTTGCATCCCATGGATGGGGCTTTGCTTGTTTGAGTGGCCCAGTTTTTAGCACGGCACGGACTGGTGCCGGTCCATGGACCGGGAGTTGGGGACCCTTGTGTTAGAGCAGTGGTTCCCAACCTTTTCTATACCCTGCACCCCTACAACGCTTCTGATATATTCCCTTACAAAAGTTCGAAATAACGGCAACAAATTATGCATATACACTATAATTTTGAAAACCCAAGTTTTTGCACTCCTGGGAATATCATTTCGCACTCCTGACTGGGAACCCCTGTATTAGAGGGTAAATATTGCAAAATTCCCTATTCTGAAAGATTTTCTCCCTGCAAAGATGGGAGCTGTACTGCAATTTTTACTGAGACACTCACAATATATTACAAATACTTCTTAGCCCATTTCCAGACTGAATAGAAGGATTCTAAGTGCAGCTTCTTTTGGCAGATGAGGATCCCAAGAGAGTTCTTGCTATTGTAAAGTTTATGCTTGCAGCCTGTATAGTGCACACGATGTTGACAGCATAGTAGGCTAGGCATGACCACAGTCCTTTTTATTATGCATGATACATTGTAATTTTTAAAGTACATATTGTATTTTTTTTCCTTTTGCCACAATAAAGTTTGACTGACTTGACCATAAGAAGCTTTCAAGTAATTTAAACTCATTCAGTGGATTCTCTCCTTGCTTATTCCAAACCTGAAATAATTGCTATAAAATGATCAATATCAGTGAACCGGAACTCTAAAATCACTCTTTTGCTGTATATTGCCAAAAGTTTCAAAATAAAGATCTTATAAAGCTGAAAAGACATAGTTTCCTTTCTTTTTAAATGAATTGAAGGAAAACTCATCCAGCAACTTGCAGGCTTGCAGTTCTAAAAAAATTCAATTTTAAAGAGGCAGTATAAAAATAATAACTCCAAAGTGGTTGAAAGGATGAGGTTTGCTCAAACTATGAATCCACAAAAGGCTGCATTTAAGGTTTAGACCCAGGTGATCACAGGCAGCTGAAAAAATGTCAATTTCTGCTATCTATTCACAAAAATCAGCTGTTGAGAAGTGCATATGGGCAATGTCTCCATCTCTCTTTTTTCCTAAGAAATTTTTTAGCAGTCTGGACATCACATCCAGCTGCTTTTTGGCCATAATGCCCCTGCAATCTCTGTAGAGTGGAGAAAAATGTAGGCATTAACTTATCTTTCCTCACTGGAAACCAGAATCTGGGAATCTCCAGTTTTAGGGTGGAAAGAGTTATGTAGAATCCTAGGTGCTCTGTTTGCCGTGAGTCTTCAGCATTTTTTCACTTCATCTTGAAGAAATAATACAGAGCTTTTGATATTCTTCAGAGTATTCATTGCACTGCTGTTGAACACCAACATTTGGCCTGATTTAAAGGTTTTTGCTTCAAAAAGCAATAAAAAGGATATAAAGCTGGAAAAAATGTGTCCTCTTCCCCTCTGTATAGTTCATAACTCCAAATTTGCATTTTAATTGTAAACTTCTGTAACTTCTGCAAGGAATACATTTCTCATGGGACTTTAGTCTTGAGTTGCAATGAACTAGTACTCAGTATCTAAAAGTAAGAAAGAAAAGGAAGAGAAGAGATAAAAGTCCCTTCTGTTTTTATCTTGTTGCACATTTCTGTTAAGGTTTTGAATTAGCATTTGTCTGAGATTCAGAAAATGAACTGATTTTTTTCTACTTTGAGGAAAATTGAGGGAGGCCATGACTTTGAGGGAGGAAACTCTTATTTTTTCCACTAGTTCATCTGAGTGAGCTTTCTAAAGAAATCACATGGCTTTTTGATTTTCCAGAAATGACCAAAATAAAAAGGCTGTATCAGAGATATATAGATATTGTATTAATGTTGGAGTCCCCTAGGCATGTTTTATGTTGTAACGTCTCATATAAACAGCATATAAAGAAGCATAAAAGAGGAACCAAAAGAAATGGTGATTTGAAGAACATTCAGTATGATAGCATGTGTTGGATGTTGAAAAAGAAGAAAAGACTGATTTGATCAGAAGGAGAAGGGTAAATTCTTAACTAAAAACTAGGCTAGAAAAGGGAAATTGAAAAGCAGCGCTGTTTTTTGATTACATACTGGTTTTATGTTCAGAAAACTAAGGAAATGAATGCTGTAATCAAACAATAACACATTTCCTAGATTATGGGGTGAAGCTGGAATCTCACCCGTGACAGTTGTGCATTTTGCTCTGAGAGAGATAAAATTTAGGCCAGCTGAGTGAGCTCTTTAGGTGGTCTGGAGGTGACTGGCATAGAAATGGAAATAGACTGTCACAAAACAATAAGCTGTGAATTGAAAACTAAGTGATAACTGCTTAAACAATTACTTTTTCAGGCTTGCTGATTGATAGTCTCTGGAGACTCACCCCAGACTATAAATTGTCATAAAAACTAGCTATTTGATAGGCTTTTGCTCTGCATAGCACACAAAGCAAAGAAACATTTTGTTTTTCCCTTTAATTTGGATCTTAATCTCACAATGGTAGGAAAATAACATTTTGAGGCCTACTGTCAAATACACAAGCTACTGGGGTAGGGAATTTTTATATAAGTTTCCTCCTGGGGGAGCAATTATCAGAAAACATTGGGAACTGACACATGAAAAACCCATGGTAATACTACCACTGCTTGCTCACAATAATTTATTCTGCTCCCTTGGAGGCCATGGGGAAAAAAAGGCAAAATTGCCTTCCATATAGATTGCCACAAAGTATACCTGTGGTGACAATATCATTAGAGGAAAATGTTGTGGTGGTTAGGCTTGTTTGCAAATCACAATCAAAACAACGAGCCCATTTTGTTTAAATGCAAGAGTGAGATTATTAACCTGGACTGCCTAGTGTGAATCATGTTAAAGCTTTTCAATTTGCTCCGTTTGATTCTTGCCACGTGACTTTTTAAAAAGACAGCTTCTTAACTTTCAGTTGGAACAAAAATAGAGATAAGAGTGCAGCAGTATGCAAATTTTCCCATCTTATTATCAACTCCCCAGTGTGTGAGAGCAAGTTTGGCTCTGCAGAAAGTGCTGCAGCTCTCATGTGCCCAATTTATTAACTTATAGAAGGATTTAAATTATGTGCTGTTTGCCTCATGGTGAAGAATTTAAATAAATTGTAACAGTGAAAAGAGACAGTTTGGGTAGCTACAGCAAATCTTTCCACCCTGATGCTAGTAGATTATTGGGTACTCCAGTCAGCATCATTATTGTACATTTTGTCCTGCTGGTAGAGGTGATGGAAAGATGTAGCCAGATAGTCAAACGGCAGTAAGTTAAAGTTTCTGCAGTCTAATGTCTGTGCGTGTTCAGAAATATTGAGCAATCTGGTTTCCATAGAATAAATCTATGAAACCGAAACCTCTAAAATTGGCCAGCTGAACCACACAAAGACAACCAATCAATAGCCATATTTTCCACAGGATGAGGACTGAGGTTGAGAGGCAAGCAAACAGTATGAGAATATCCAAATACTTTTGTTGCTTAAAAACTAATGCACTATGCCTGAAATCTCTTAAATTTGTATTTTCCTTGTGTTATTCTGATATTTATCTAATTTTTCACTGTTTATTTTATCTTTGATTTCCACATACTGATGGTGTTCTAATATCTAGGTTTGATGTGACTGATTTTGTATTATATTTAATCATCCTGAGTATTTTGGTAGAGCAACAAATAAATTAAAAATATAAGTTCTAGAGACAGAGATTTCCTGTTGATCACAAGGAGATGATGATTAAGAGAAGTTTGACCTGACTTATGTAGTCCATGGACTGATCTTCTAATCTATATTGCGTGTCTGCAGATGATTTATACAGGAATTATGTAAGTCCACATTGGGATCATAGTTGACTCATAGAATTGAAAAATCATAGAACTATAAAGTTGGAAGGGGCCAATTACAGTAGGTCACTGAGTTCAACCTGCCACTCAGTGCAAGAATCTATGTTAAAGTACCCAGATACATAGCTGTCTAATCACTACTGCTTCGTATCTCCTTAAAAAATCTGCAAATTACATTAGAAATAAATATATTTTTTTAAAAAAAATAACTAATAGAATTACTGATTTCCCCTTTCATCTAGAAATATTCATTACAATAGGTGCGTGGGAGAAATTAGAAATTCTATTCCTAATAGCCATGTTGACTGATGGCGATCAGTAGTCCAATACAGATGGAGGGCAATATACTAGAAATATTGTTGTGATGAATGTATGTTGATGATAGAGTCTATTACCAAGATTTTAAATACAGTATGCAGTATATATATTTGTTTAATTCTTGACAAAGGCCCTTTATATGATGACAAATATGTCCCTCATTTACACACTTTATTTTTTTCATGTAACTCTAAACAATTTTAAAGATAACCCTGAAAAATGTTAGGAAACAGTCAACATTATATCAGGCATAGATTTAAGTATTTGCCGTAGAATTTTAAAGAATGTAAGGAAATTCTTGGATATATTAAGAGTCTTCCTTTTAGAATGTATTGGAGAAGAAAGGTAGACTTTATGGACTTTTAGAATATTGACTGATGCTAAAAATGTTTATGATGTGTTTTTTTCTAGTGCTGAGAAATCAGCCTCGTATTGACTTACAAGTTGTAACTTTCAGTGAGGACTAATAACAAGCCCCCTAAGCATTCATTTGAAGTATATATCCGACAGTGGCATGCGATAGCTCAGTTTTCTTAACAACAAGGACAAAGCCTTCTTTCCTTAGCCAATGTAATTACTTTCCTTCTTTCTGTTTTTCTGTGGAAATTGTAGATATTAGCTGTAGCTCTTTTTTACAAATGGTATTTGTATAAGCAGCTTTTCTCTCACTTAAAGTCTTGTATTGTGTCAACACAATTCAAACATAACATTAGTGGAAAAGTGGACAATACTCTTGATGTTTTGATTGAAACTCTTCCTCGTACAGAATTCTGAAAATTATTTTTCAGTGCGTGAAGTACTTGGTGTTTTTCTTCCATTGTTGCTTTCAAAGTTGATTGAATGCACTATAGAAATAAAGGACAAAAAATATGGAATTTTAAGGGCCATCAAGCATAATACCTTAGTTCCAGATTTGTGATTTTTCTTGGATCTTCATTTGTACTCGGTAAAAAACAGATTTATGTAGCCTCCTATACATCCTATACATAACACCAAAATGAAGGGAAATAGAACTGCTGCTGTTTTACATTCTCTTGAATATTCCTTCATTGCAGCCCAGCTTGTTATGTATTCAGAATTAATAAATTCCATTCAAAATTAATGCCAACTCTTCTCTTTGTGCTGCGTATTGAATTTGACTGACAGTGAGAAAATGCCTTATTTAATAAAGAAAAAACAGAATTATTCTATTTAAAAAATGACATTGCTATTTTTTTTTAAAAAAAATATTTTTAATTTTTTAATAATATAATAGTGATACTAACTCAGGCTGAGAAAGTCACTGAAAACCCTGATTACAGTAATCCCCACTAGACATTTTATGGAAAACACAAGACGAAATGGATTACTGTTGGGTAGATCTGCCACTTACATGTAGATACCATATTTTTTAATAGAAAATTTAGACAAACACTAGCTTTTCTTTCAATGTGATCTCCTTCTGACATATAACTGACTGACTCCAGATTCAAAAAGAATTTCAGAATAGAGTTTGCTCTAGAGTTATCTCTTTTCTTATTTATTTTTGGTATTTATGTCTGTTGGATTTGAAGAGCAGATAGGGAAGCTGCCAATCAGAACAGAAGAGGCTGAGGATAGTGGCAGCTATAGCAGTAGTCACCCAGATAACTACTTCTGAAATAATAACTGATGCACAGAATTGAGATTGCATTGCTCAAGGCACTGGAGTCAATAATAGGAGCAACTTGGCAACTTTCTGGCATTCAGTGGAGTGCTAGAAAAAGGGACATAGGCTATAATAGCAGCCATAGTGGTTGTTCATTATTTCTAATTAATCCAGTGTATACAAATGGTGACTTTTCAAATTGTCAAATATAATCATTCACACTGCAAATTTATTAGGAGCAAGTGTATGCATGTGGAAAGTATAACTCCGATCTGCTACTACCATGTAGTTTTGGAAAAATTACACCTAAATTCAGCAGTGTGCTATGTTCCAATGAGAGAGTGTGCTGGATCAGTGGCTGAGCAACAGAGCAGGGACCTTACTAGATTCAGCTCTGCCATTAACTTTGCCTTAAGCCCTTTTTTGTGTATACTTGATCTTTTGACTGGCAGAATAATGCTTATATTACAAAGCTGTCACAAGGATTAAAACAAAATACACATGTTAGTTAACGAGTCTTCAATGCAGCAACCAGACTGGTGATGGGGCAATCGCAACACTGTGGGATAAAACTGCTTTTGAAGTCATTGCACTAGTTGCCCATAGATTATAGATTCACTACTGATGATCACTTACACAGTCCGGTGGTATAACTTCAGATTGAATCAGGTATTACATTGCCAAAATTGATGGTCCTTGTCTCATCCAAACATCTTGAGAACATCTATTAAGAGTCTCACTTCCACAGGAAGTACATGAGATT